AACTTATGGCCAATAGCCTTTAACAAATATCTGAACACCAAGCAGTTATTTTAGTTTGCACAGTAGACATCTGACTGATCAAGATATGGTGCGTACATAGCAAATAAGAGCAGTATGATAGCAAAGAACTGATGAAACAAACAAAAAGGCAACTGTTTCCCGTTTTCTGACGCGTTTCACGTGTTTTAAGTACTTTTTGGGGCTGTCGGAATAATCAAATATAACACCTTGTGTGAAGTTTCAGCATTGTTCCCAGATATCTTTCCTAGATACATAAGGCTATCGTCATTATACATCATAGTCACGGATCTAAGACTATTCACACAGAAATTCAATGTCGAAAATATTTTTCTAATTTCATACTTAGATTGAGCGTAAACTTCAGCATTAGAATAATTATCAAGTTTAACCTTTTGATCCGTTCCTCGCTATGAATTGACCAAAGATATTATTTTACTAAATTCAAGATAATGTAGGCAAATTGTAGTTTTCTCGTTACCAATCATCTTTAGACATTTGCAACTGCGATATGCATGATCAGCGTGATCAATTATTTTGTAGTTTAGTGCGGACAGGCTCATATGTTGGAACGCTGACTGAAAATAGGCTGTGTGTATATGAATCTTGCCTCGTGGAATCATATTGCTGGTCAACAGTCAACGTTGGGACGGCAACGGATGGCTAAGCCCCAAACGTGTAGAGAATGAGCATTTTATAGTAGTGTTGCGGATTATAATAAACTAACAATCATAAGTCTTTACTGATACAGTTGAATGAAACATTCGCCGATGAAATCTTTAAAGTGACTCATCTGAGGAATCAAGATTGACAAATTTTTGAACAACTTTCTGAAAAATGATAATTGAAAGCGTTGCATAGCGCTTATTCACTTCGTCCTTCTGTTTTCTTTCAAGAATATTGATGATTCACTGAAAACGTTCAATTTCATTTTATTGCTTCTGAGCAACGATGGCTTCGCAATTGTTTTATTTGTTTCCGCAGAGTGTGAAGTATGAGTGTGGGTGTTGGAGAAGAGATGATCCATACACTCACACCCACACCATGATCAAACGTGACTTTTCAGGATCTCTCTTTCCCGATCACGTTTCTTTCATAAAACAGTAGTTCATGTTTAGTTTTGATGTTAGACAAATGTTAATGGTAAGTACCTGTGTTCGAATCTCCTCCTCCGCATTTATTTGATAGGTGTCGATTACTCAAGAATGAAGCATCTATAGGAGAAAATCCTTTTTTTCTGATGATCGAATTCTGATCGTCTTAATAAAAATCGTTCGACTGGTCGAAAACTCCGCGTTTTACTGACCTATCACCTAGGTCTCGACCTATTGGAAAGTGAGAATCCGTGGGATTCGTTTGAAATTTAGATGCCAACGACAACCTCAAATCGACGCGTTGAAATACCTATCGAATGGTATGTTGAGCAGATTTCAGATAGGCAAGGGAATTTCCTATTCATTTATTTTACATTTAAATTCACATTAATTCAAGCCTAAAATAAGTCTAAACTATAACGAATTAAATTCATTCTTAAATATCAATTAATTGCAAATACAATTTCATTAAATTTAATTTAGATTAAATTCTTTCGCTCTTTGATAATATTTTGTGAAATGAAGATGTCGCATTACTACTTAGTACTATATGATTTCGGCTTAATCAAATAAAACCGAACCAATTAAAGCGATTTCGAATCGTAGCATTGTGTTGTAAACAAATTTAGGGATTCTTCAAATAAAGAAGAGCATAACAAATGTTTGATAAATGGATTCAATGGATGCCAATGAGTTTAAATAATCAGGAAGATGATTTCAAATATTTAACAAAATAAAGATTTGATGATCTTGTGTCTATATACTTCGTTTTTATTCTACGGCAATCACTTTTTCTATATCCTATTATGTCCAAATGACTAGGCATTAGAAGAAACGAAGAACAAAGAGGATACATATAGAAATTTTAATATCATAATATTAGTTGAAGATAAAATATTACAGAAATTTCGAGCCCTGGCTTTACGATCACACCATACAGAGCAAAACTTTCTTTAAGCTTTTTGTAAGAAATTGAAATGACTTCTCCAGCACTTTTTGTATACCACAAGTATTTTTTTGAGACTATCAATAAATATGTCTATTTTGGAGCAGATATAGAAGACCACGAGTCTTCTAATATGTTGACTGCTTTACAAGTATTTGTCAAATATGACGATCGAATTCCTACTTTGGGTGTGACTAGTAGTGAAAGTATTGTCTTCACCTACATCCTTTTTCGATTAATTCGAACATTTCGACAACAAGAAGTTGACCTGAGTCCTAGCACGCCCAATTTTGTGCTTATGCTACTACATACAATAGAAATGTTCATTGATCGAACAGTCCACAAACAGATGTCTTCGATCTCGTATGTCAAATAATTTGTGACTAGTGCACTGCAACTGGCCCAGATCTTCGGCATCCAACCTGGCAATATTTGAGATCTCGATGTTTCATAATATTTATATTTTTTCAAAGTGCTGGATATATATAAGCGTAGAAATGAAAATTCATTCATAAATAATGATGAACCATATGACCAGAGTTGGAACCGGTCCGGACAAAAAGTTACACCGAGCCGGATAAAACCGGATTTTTGCCGGTTTATCATTACTAATTGTTGTTTGTGCCCAAGAATTTTTCCTACTGAAAAAGGTGTTTTTATGATATTTTCAAGTCAGAGGAATGTGTTTGCGAAAGACTCAATAGATATCGTGTCTTTGACTTGACCATAAACGGTTGATTTCTCTGCTTATATCTCTATCGATTTCTTTCTCGTATATCGCTCAGTTTAACCTAGATCAAGTAATTTATTTCTTGTTCTTCTTAGGCAACTGCCTGAAATAAGAAAAATAAATATTTACGTTTTTGTGTTACCTTTATTATAAATTTCTTTTTTTTTTAAATTAAATTGAAAAAATAGATTTCATCTGAATCGCTAATTTATATCGATATCGGGCTCGAAAATTCGGTACAGCTTGCTATACAATTTGATGGTGAGAGTTTCATTCTCAAGTTTATTTAAATCCAGTTTAAATTAATTCAAACTCGACTTAAATGAATTAAAATAATTTCAATAATTTTTAATAATTTTAATTTAGAATAAATCTAACTTTTTAAAATTTCTTTTTCGATTTATTAAATTTCTGTAAATGTAAATTGATTACCTTTAGTTCGAATATCTGCACGTAAATATTCAAGTCCCATTTACCACTACTTTATGTGAACAAGTACTTTTATAGTCAGTTATTTTCGCCGGAATTTTGCCAGTTTGGCTGAAAATTCATCCGGCCGGTTGCTGACCAGACCGGACAGAAAAAACCTGTCCGGTTGCAACTTTGCATATAACTACGTAATTGAATGTATGAAGAGGAAAATGTATGTATCCATAAGTATGACATTTGACACCAACACTACGTTTCAAATGAAACTAAACAGTATCCTTTTTCACATAAAGTAAAAGTTTGAAAACTGTATTATGACTATGCAAGTATGTGCCAGATATCGATTAGGTTTGGTCTAAGTGCAAAAAATCATGCCCGTGCAGGACATTGATTGTGACATCAAATGAAATTTATAGTCGAATTACATTCAAAAACTATTTACTATTATAAGATTTTCGAATAAAAACGAATCCATACATATATTATACCGTATCAAAAACGTACTGTTTACATAAAAAGTGTAAAACAATAAACAAACAAAACAAAGTTAAAAAAAATCTGACATAAACAATGGATAAAAAAAGATACTGATACAATTATATCTGGACACTTCAGCAAGATAAGAAAGCTTACATTATGACCATACAACACTTAACTAATTATGTTGTATAAACACAAACAAAAAAAAACCAAATGTAGTAGCAAACGTGATCAATTGCTTTATGTACATAAATATCGATTACTGTTCTATTTAAATTTCTTCATTTATCTGTTTATGAACCTAAAAACTATAGTTGATGTCACTATATTTATTAACATAAGCTTCATACTTTTAGTATCAATATCACTGAAAACCGTTTCATATTGAATTCTTTTTTGAACATCCAAAATTGATGAATGAAAATATGTTGAAGTCATTTGTGTAGCTGGAGCAGTTGCATAATAAGCCAAAACCGGACCGATTGCATATGGTGAATGATGGAAAACAAAATACCCTGAAATAAAATCACTAATGTAGTCTAATCTATTTCTCTTTTTTCCCTAATCAATTTTATTCAAAATCAAAATATAATTTTATAATAAACTCCAATCAGAAATAATCCGTAGTTCTTACCCAATATTAAAAATCTGTTTTTTTTTTCAAAGTTTTCTACTATTATTATTATTCCAATGTATTTGTATTTTATTTTCCAATAGATCGACGAAATAAATATTCCACACAAACCAATGATTTTTAAGTTTTAGTTTAATCTCGCTCTGTAAATTTTTGTTTTTTTTTTTTTTCTTTTTATAAAATATATGAAAATCAAAAAAGAAATTTGTTATATTTGTGTAGTGCGATATGACAAAAATTTTTTTTTTTTTTAGTTTTTTTTATCGAAAGAGAAACGACGATGAACACTTTTGGTCCAAAAAGCAAAAAGCACAGAACAGAGAGAAAGAATGAATGACACAGACATAAACAAATGAATTAAGAAAAAATGTTCTGTTTTTTTTTTTTTTTCTGTACAAAAAAACTAATCTTCCTTCTTAATGTTTTTTTTTTTTTTCTTGTTGCAATTTTTCGGTTAATTATCTTTATAAACATTGATGAGAAAACAAAAAGAAAAACACGAAAAACGAAGAAATCTATGTGTGAACAAAATTCGATTGTCTCGATTTTCCAAGTTTTCGGGGAATATGAACGAGAAAGAAAGAAAGAGAATTCATTTTTTTTTTTTTGCCCACTGTCTTTTTCGAAAAGTTCACCTCTCACACACGCTGGATCATCTATAAACAAAGCTCAGTTCCAGCTATAACTGGACTGTTGCTGTGAGCTGTTGTAGCCCTGATCTTGATACCAATTTCCACCGGCATTTTGTTGTTGTTGTGGACCATTATTGGAATTATCATTACCATCACCACCCATAGCTCCCCACGATCCAGTATCTGGACGGGATCGTTTCGACATATTACCATCGTTCATCTGGTTCGGTGGTCGTTTCATACCTCCATATGATTGATTTTGTTGCATTGGATTCATGCCAAAGCCACTGTTACCCATGCCCATTTGATTTGATGGTCGACCGAATGATTGATTGCTATTTTGTGATGGACCGTTAAATGCGCCAAAACCACCTAAATAACAAAAAAAATCATACTTTTTCTATTATAAATTTTTTTTTATTCCACCTTGATTATTAAATCCACCACCCATTCGATTGAAACCACTATCATTATTATTATATCCACCAGAATTATTCTTTAAAAGAATAAAAAATAAAAATTTTAATGTTAAAAATAACTTGTTTTTCTTTACTATTTTGCTTACATTTTGTGGTGGTCCACCATAATTTCCTCGGTAATTATTATTAAAACCTCCACGATTATTTTGATTAAAATTACCATTTCCACTTCGATTACCAGAATGAAATCCACCTCCACGATTACCTGAAAAGCCACTTCGATCGCCACCTGATGAACCACCGGAACGCTAAATGAAATTAAAATTTATGTTTCCACTTTCAAACAATCAAAGACAAATATAAGACTTTAACCACAAAACGGGTTATAAGTACCCTTATAAAAAAAAGACTTCATCTATCAAAACATCATGTATACATTATCAAGTTCTACAGCGTACTATTGACCACTCAATAGATGGCGCCATCTATTGATATATCTTAAATACGTTGTATAAAGCTTGATACCTACATACATCATTAGATAGATGATGTCGTCTTTCTTCGTAAGTTTAAGTATGTCCCGTTCTGCAGTTAAAATGTTATAGTCACTATTTCAATCACTTACACCACCACGATTATTCCCTCGTTGAGATGGTCCACCTCGTGATGATGAGGGTGGTGGAGGTGGATGCTGTGGTGGAGCATTGCCCATTAAATTATCTCCGCTAAAAGCACCAAAAGTATTCACATCTAAAAATGAAAATATATACATATCATTAACGAATTTGATAAGAAAATACAAACTGAATGAGTCATCAGATCGTCCACCGACACGTGGTTGACCGCTATTAAAACCACCGAAACTACTTGATGCTGGTCCACCTGTAAAATCACTTGGTGCATTATCACCAAAACCGCTTCGTGAATTCACTGGTGTATCAAATGGTTTTCGTTGCTCACGTTTTGATTGTGCTTGTTTACGTTTATCACTTAATGGTTTAGCTAAACTAACTTCAATTGAATTTCGACCAAGAATCTTAAAATTTCAATAATTATATTAAAAAAATTTCTTTGCTTTTTCTTTCTTTTTACTTTTCCATTGAGTGCACGCATTGCATTCAATGCATCATCCCGTTTATCAAAATGAACAAAAGCATAATCCTATATATATTAATAGAATTCAATTGAAATAAAGTTTCTTTTTTTTTTTTCTGTTTTGAATAAAATTATATAACTTACTCGAACTTTTCGTACACGTTCAATATTTCCATATGGTAAAAAGAAATCTTTTACATCATTTTCTGATACATCAGATGTTAAATTTCGTACATATAAAACTTTAACTTGTGACATTGTATCATCATCAGGTTCTTCATCTGGATCAGCCCAATCAACAGCAATATCACGATTAAATACCTTAAAAATTTTTTGCACTTCCTTTTTTAAATAGATCAAAACTAAGGCAAAACATTTTTTTTCTTACTCGAACACGACCATTAGCTAATTTTCGTTTAGCAGCTGAAGCATTTTTATGTGTATCAAAATCAACAAAACAAAATCCACGATTTTTCTTCTTATCAGCTTCATCAGCTGGTGTATAAATAATAACTTCTGTTACACCTTCAACTGCTTTAGATAATTCTTCTTTAATTTCTTCTTTTGATTTTGTTTTTGGTATATTACCAATAAATAATCGAAGATTAGCAACACTACAATTTGCTTTTATTGGTTTTCCTGGACGAATTTCATAACCATTAAGCTAGAAAAACAAAAATCAATTTTTCAACATAATCTCGTCAAGGTTAAATAACAACTCCAACAAATACAATCTATCTTATTTATTTCAGCATTTAGAACAGAACTTTTTCTTAATAATATACGTTACTCTATTCTAACAATTGACTTAACTGAGAAATAAGCTTGCCTGCTGGACATATTCATTATATCTAATAGCAGGTCTCAACAAATTATTATCACAAAAATCTCGATAAACTAATATAACACACTAGTATGGAATATTTCCTAAAGTTGATGATATCTGGTATATAACTTTTTATTTGCACTATTTAAAATATCCACAAGTGTATTTCGGCTTTTTGAAATTTTGAGGGAAGCTTTTGCATGTTTTAGAACCAGTCTAAGTCTTATTATTAATTCTTTTGAGCATCTTTTATCACTACTAAGGAATTGTAGCAAAAGGAGTCTAACGTCTATTGTCTTCCATTGCAATGGAAAACATACTGATTGGTTACTGGTTTTAAAAACCTCCGTTGCTATGAGAGGTGAAACCGTAAAATGTCAACTTAAAATATCTACACTGAGTATATTTTTTTCTCTTCGAAACAACATAATATGAGTTTACTAAAAATAAACATGTCAAATAAAAAAAGTATTCTTACTTGTTCACATGCTTTTGATGCATCACCTGGAAAACAATATGTAACAAAACAATAACCTTTATTAAAACCTGATGCTGGATCAATCATTAAACGTAAATCCCAAATTTTTCCAGCTTTTTCACATAATGGAATTAATTCCTCTTCAAATATTTCACGTGGAAGTTTACCAATAAAAACCTTATTTTCAAAAAAACAAAAAAAAAAATATTGATAAAGAAAAATTCTTTTCTTTCTCGATCGATCAACATACCTCGCTACGAGTAGCAGGTCGTTCAGGTCCATCAGGTGGTGGTCCACCATATTTACGTTGACCAGCTGTGACTTCAGTTTTATATCCCGTTCGTTCAATAATTTGCTACAAAAGAATTAAACAAAAAAAAAAAAATTAATTACCGTATGTTGTTTTCTTTACTTTTAATTTTGCTTCATCAGGACCAGGTTTATGTGTACGAGCATTTTCACCAAAACCTTGTGTTGATTGTGAATCATTCGATGAAGATTTTGGTTGTTGTGGATTACGTAATTTCCATTGTTTAATAAAATTACATAGAAATGCACCTTTATTAACAACACCGGTTAAATCGGAATCATTAAATTCATTAAATAATGAATCAATACTTGTTATATCATCAGGAAATGAACGTAATTGTTCACATACACGATTATCAATATCACTTGAATTTAATTTACCAATATCAATCAATGAACGAATTTTTTGTACAATTTTTTCATTTATTCCTTGATCAGTATATGGTTTTTCGTTTTCATTTTCATGTGAACCTTGAACATTTGCTGATGATGTATCTTGTTGTACGTTTCCATTTGTGTTTGACATTTTGTTTTTTTAAATAATAATGTCAGAAGAAACGACGACTAGTATATAGTGTCAGTCTAAAACAAAACAAAAAAAAATTAATATTTCAAAAAAAATGTTGATATTATGTGACAAAGACATGCTGGGAAAAAAAAATCTTTTCTATTTTTTTTACTTTTACGTTCGTCAATGAATAACAACGAATATTAAAGGAACTGTTCTCTATAGTGATTATGTAACAAGTTACTAATGCATTTATGCATTTTGTAATTGATGAAATACTTATTATGGAAATTTTTTTAAAGAAAAATAATTGAAATTTTTTTTTATTGTTAAAAGAATAAATAAAAAAAAGAAGATAAAATAAAAATTGATTGTAGCGCTACAGGAATTATTTCTACTAATAGATAACTCTTGTCTTCTAGGTACTCGACATCGTTCCATTTAGCCGGTCACTTTTGTCATGACCTTTAGGAAAATGTTGAAGCCATTGATAATTTTTTTCATAGTTGCTTTTGGTTATCCTATTCAAGCAATAAATAAAGGTAATTTGAAGACTATTCTTTGAAATTATATATAAGATTTATTATATCATTCAGATGATTTACTTGTTGTTGCGGTTGCTACTAATGAAAATGATAATTATCATCGTTTTATTCGATCATTAAATGTTTATGGTTATAAATATGAGGTAATTATTCTAGAAATTTTTTTTTTGAATTATTGACCGAATTATCAAGTCATTGTAGTAGTATATATACATTTAAAGTTATTGAATTATTCTTTTTCACTACTATTTTATATAGTGACGTAATCAATGCCGAGGGGGATGAGAGACCTTCTTCCTTTGTTGTCAAAATGCTGATCACGTCACTAGTATAATGATTGAAAAAACTTTTGTAGAGTTTGAAACTGATCTCATACTTGTTCAATTATGTTTTCTCGTAGTTTTAACTTCTTGAGGATGTGGTTACCAAATTGAGATTTTTGAAACTTGAAGAAAAATCAGAAGGTAAATTAAATGCAAATAAAAATAGACTCACAAATGATGTTTGAAGCGAATATAGAAAAAGTAAACTGAATTGATTTTTTTGTGAATGAAATATATTTTCACCATTAAGAAGATAAGCCTATAATTGGTCGTATCTAATTAAAGGAGGTTTCTTTTTATTCTTTGTAGTATCTAATATCACACTGTGATGTTAGATCGTTTTTCAACATAAAAAAATAAATAGGGGAAAAACATTTCCTGGGCAAATTAGAAGATTTGATAATTCTGTAAATGATATTTATAGAAAGAAAGAAACGATGGTACAACTTGACCTACAGAATCTTTCTACGTGTGTGCTTACACGCGTAGGAAGAAATTCCAAAGAAACTATTGTCTATATGAAAGTATTTTAATGTCCTCTAAATGAGGACAATATTAGAAAGGTTTCATCTGCTTACGTCGCCGTTTAGGTTAATTGTTTTCCCTAATACAAGTAACAACTTCATTATCCTCAATTCTTTACTTCAAGTTCAGTGGTTCCACTACGATTTAAGGCAACTACTGCTAAGTGAACAATATTTAATATGAAAATTTGTAAGCATTAGTTCCATCGGGATAAATCCTGTTGATAATCAAATAGAGAAGCATCCAATGAACCGGTTGAGTAAATAAGAGATTGAAAGAAAATTAAACAACAATTCAAAATTATTGTGTTTAGTTTTTTTTTTATTGACTTTAACATACCAACTAAAAGCCTCTAAAGTTTGGCAGTTTAAAAAAAATCTGAAACTGGAATCATTAAATCATCAAATAAAAGTTTAAGACTGAAGTTGTACATGTTCAATGACATTTTCTCGTGCTTAAAATAACATAGTTTATCATGAATACTTATTAATGAATTTTATTATACATAGATTTATGGCCTTGGTCAAGTTAGAACAAATGCTGAACAAAAAATGAAAATTCTTCAAGAAAATCTTGTTCGTTATAAGGATGATAAAACAAAAGTTATTCTATATACTGATGCTTATGATGTAATATTTACTCAAGGACCAGAATTTGTACTTAATAAATTTGAAACACTAAAACCAGCTCGTATTGTATTTGGTGCTGAAGATACTTGTTGGCCTGATGAAAATTTACAAGTAAAAATATCATTGCTGCTTGTGTTCTTTTTTTTGTCTTTCAAGTATGTTTTAATCTCTTTTTAATTTTTATTTAGTATGGTTATCCAATGGTTGAAAGTAAAGAAAAACGTTTTTTAAATTCTGGTGGTTTTATGGGTTATGTATCGGATATATATGAAATGATTACAAGTCAAGATGAAATTAAAGATGAACAATTATTTTTTACAAAAGTTTTTCTTGATGAAAATCTTCGAGTAAAAAAAAAAAAAAAAGAATACAAAATTGAATTTATTTTAAATAATATTTATTATTACTTTATATTATTTTAGAATAAATGGTCGATTATACTTGATAAACGTGCTGATATATTTATGAATTTAAAGAATGCTATTGATGAAATTGAATTACCATCTAATGAAGGTGATGTTTATGTACACAATACTTGGACAGATTCAATTCCAACGGTTATTCAAGGCAATGGTCCTGCTAATGTATAAATAAAATGTTTAGTTGATTATTTTTTGTCTATTATTAGTTTGTTTTTTTTCTTATAGAAAGTTTTAAATTATTTAAGTAATTATATTGCTCATACTTGGTCATCAATTGATGGATGTTTACAATGTAAAGAAAATTTATTTGATGTAACTCAAATTGATGATGTAAGATTAATGCATTTTTTCTTCTTCTAATTGTGAGAACTTTATGAATTATTATGTTTTTTTTTTTTCGTTTAGCTTATGCAATGGCCTATGGTTTATATCGCTTTATTTATTGAATTTCCAACACCATTTCTTCGAGAATATTTTGAAAAAATAATGAAAATTACTTATCCAAAACAACGTTTGGGTATCTTAATTCATAATCAAGTAAGAATTATTAAAGAAAAAAAAAAAAGGTAGAATATTAAATATTCGACAGCACTTAGTAGACATAAATGTAACTTTGTTTAGATTGCTTAAAATGATACAACAAATAGTTCTCTACGACGTATTTTTTAACTGAAATACACCAATATTATCGAAGCTCTTTTAAGTAATCTAAACAGAATTACATTTGCGTATTCTCAGTTCTGAAAAACTAGGGTTTGAGTTTTCTGGAGATTCTGTTTTCGAAAATCTTATAATTATTTTTATTTACTTATATTCATGTGAGAAACAATTTCCTCTAGTCGAATCATTATTCGAATTTTCTGTAGCATTAAAGTCGTAGAAAAAAATAAAAATAATTATTGAAAAATAGTATCTAAAACTGCATCATTCGTTTTATTCGTAAATATTTTAGTTGTATAATGTGTATACAAAATTAATACGGCGATACAATGAAACTGTTATTTGGTACGACTAAAGCATATTAACAGGTTGATTAAAGGAGTCATCTCAATAAACAATTATCGTTCGATTAGATACTGTAGAACATAAGACAATATTTAAGATATAAATAGGGATAAAATTAGAGTTCGTCGAGTCTAAAAATTTAGTAATCGGTGTTTTTGAAGGTTTTCGGATTCGAACAATACTCTTAATGCTACTTTTTAATTCGAATTTGATAGTCCTTCCGAAGGTGTGAGATCGAGATTATTTGAATTCATCGACTAACAGACTCTAAATATGTGTCAGACAATCTTAACAGTGATTCCATAAGAACAAAGTTAAAATAGACTCCTACTGTTACAGTATCAATCGTCAAGATAAAATACGATATTTCACTAAATATGGTACAGGTATAGCACGTAACTAACAAGATTAAAGACGTCCATAAAATTTCGAACACCATCCTTTAATTTTAACATCACTTTTAGGTTATGATATAACCGAAGGTGAAGCACGAGAACAAGCAATGTATGTTCGTTAATATTTTATTTCAAAAATAAAAATCTTTTTATGTTTAGTCGTGAATGTCAAGATGATAAATGTGACTATTTATTTGCTCTTGATTCAATTGCTCATATTGATCAACCAGATACATTAATTCAATTAATAACATTTAATCGAAGTGTTGTTGCACCTATGCTTTTACGACCTGGACAAACATGGAGTAATTTTTGGGGTGATTATTCAGATCAAGGATTTTATCAACGATCACCTGATTATATGGATATTATTAATTATAAAAAAATGTAAGAAAGACAATCGTGGATAAAAAGTCTACGCAGTTACCATAGACCTTTCTGTACCGCACTTTCGTAAGCAGATGCTGCCGAGGAAACTACTCGTTGAAAATTCAATATCCTGACAAATGAATATTCTTGTCCGGTGAATTTCAGCATATTCGAAAAGGTCATAAGTCGATTACAGAGACTTTCTTTTGGACTCAATATGAACTCTAACGACAAGATACAGTTCGAGTTGTTCTCTCGTGTGTTATGATGAATGGTGTCTATTCACCCATTGAATTTCATAAATCAGAAAATGGAGGACGTTTTGAGTCAATTATGTAGTGAAGCGTGGTCATTTTATTCTAACTATTGGGGTGCAGAACAAACCATCTATTGCCGTTTTTAAACGCATAGTTCAATCAATTAACTTGAAACTTGTTGAGTAGGTTTCTCCATATAATTTCTGCTAGTTTGAGAATCAAATGTTATATTAGGGGGGGGGGGGGGGTATGGACGACTACCTTGTTTGTGTCGAGAGTTCAGACATGTCAATATTTGAGCAAATGATTTTATCATCTGCATAAAGAAAGACCATAGATTAGGATATAGTTGTCTCTGATCTATATGTCTAATGGATTATGTATACGTAAACTTGTACATTTCTAACCATGATAATGACTGAAGTCTGATTTTATTCAGTACTGTGATCTAATCGATTCTTTTTTCTAGGGGTCTTTTCAATGTTCCACATGTTGTTCATGCTTATTTAATTAATGGTTCATTGCTTCAACGTTTTACACCGAAATATATCGATTCTAATACAGATCCAGATGTAAAATTTTGTCAATCATTACGAGATGCCGTATGTCAATAGAATATAATTTTCTATATGATTGATTTGTCTTTTTTTTAAAAGGGATATTTTATGTATGTAAATAATGAACTAAACTATGGACATTTGATTGATTCAGATAATTTTAATATATCATTAATTAAACCTGAATTATATGAAATATTTAATAATGTTAAAGTAAATAATTTTGTTTTCGAAATTTCATTTGTATAAAAAAATTATTTCCTATTCTAAGGATTGGAAAGCTCGTTATCTTCATGCAGATTATTATAAAGCTCTTGAAGCAAATACAACAGTTGAACAAGTATTATATTTTTGTTTTTGAAATCGAAATAAAATAATTTTGTTTCGTTTCATTTTTAAGCCATGTCCTGATGTATATTGGTTTCCATTTGTAACTAAAGAATTTACTGAAGATTTAGTTTATCTAATGGAAACATTTAATCAATGGTCAGGATCATCACATAGTGTAAATTCGAATTAAAATATTAATAGAAAAAAATACGAATTATTTATTTAATTAGGATTCTCGATTAGCTGGTGGTTATGAAAATGTTCCAACAGATGATATTCATATGACACAAGTTGGTTTACAAGAACATTGGTTATTTATTCTTCGAGATATTGTTCAACCAATACAACAAAAAGTTTTTACTGGTTATTATAGTGATGTAAATAATAATTTATTTATATTTAAATCAATTAAATATATATATTTGTTTGTTTTTTTTTAGCCACCAAAAGCTGTACTTAATTTTGTTGTTCGTTATATGCCTGATCGTCAAAATAAATTACGACCTCATCATGACGCATCAACATATACACTTAATCTTGCATTGAATGATGCTGAAAAAGATTTTGAAGTAAAAATAGAAAAGATTTTGTTAATTTAAAAACATAACATTTTTTTTTTTTGTTAAAATTTACTATAGGGTGGGGGTTGTCGATTTGTTCGATATAATTGTTCGGTATCATCAACACGTCGTGGTTGGGCATTATTACAACCAGGTCGTTTAACGCATTTACATGAAGGCTTACCAGTAACAAAAGGAATAAGATATATTATGGTTTCATTTATTGATCCATAATCGTAGAATTTAGAAATTGTCTGTGTGTGGTGCTTTTGCAGTTATTAAGATTTTTTTTTAGGTGCTATTTATACTCAATTTGATTTTTATAAAAGTCATTTTTTTTTCTTGCATTTATTATAAGTATTAATATTATGAATTGTTTTTAGTTTGCAGTGTATTGACATAGTATTGTTGTTATTGTTAAAGAAATCAAAATTTCATTTTTAAAATGCTTTAAATACAATGAATCATGCGTGCTCATGTTTTTTTTTTCAGACATTCAATATCGATAGAAAATAAAATATTATCGTTCTTTTCAATAAACTAAAATGAAACAAAACAATTCAAGTATTAGAAAGAAAGTATTGATCATTTATATCTTTGATTAATATATAATGAACAACAAACAAATGAAGACAATGCTAATTTATTATTAGAGTTTTCTAATTTATTTTCTAGATATATTCCTTTTTCAATATTGTTTTTTTTCACTTCCAATGTAATTTCTAATGTTCATACTTGACAATGAATTATCAATTGATATTATTCTATATAATATCAATTATTGTTCAGTATACAAATTCAGTTAATTTAAATACTGGTTTTACTGATGCATTAACACATGAAGAATATGAAGATGATGTTGAATTAATTAAAATTCGTTTTGATACTACAAGACCATGTCGTTTTTTTTGTAAGTTCGTTTGTATGAAAAAAACAAAAAAGAATTATATATATATATATATATTGATTTATATTTATAGCTGATGAACGTTATCCAAAAGTAGAAAAAGGTTTAGCTAATTGTTCATGGTATGAAGATGATGCATGTTGTAAACGAACTGAAGTAGCAAGTGTTTTTGAATCAATGTTTACTTTACATCAAGCTTCAACACAATGTCGAAATATGATGAATTATCTCATGTGTTTCTTTTGTGCACCGGATCAATATTTATGGTATATCAAAAAGTACAATATATAATCTTTATTTTATTTTATTATAATATGAGATTTTTCATTTAGACGTGTTAAAATTTGTCAAACATTTTGTGATGAACTTTATAAAAATTGTAAAACAGCTGAATTTAGTGGAAATATGATTGGTACTTATATATATATTTATTTGTTAAAAAGATTTTTTATTAATCATATTTATTTCTTAGGTACACTTTATAAATCAGGTTTGCAATTTTGTGAGGCAAATAATTTTAATGTGGTTACAAATGATTGCTTTAAATTTGATGCCAATGTTTTTTCATCAGCATCATATTTATATCCATCAATCACATTCCTCTTTAGTCTTGTCAATTTGTGTCTAGTCATGATGTTTGTATTTATAGTAATAAATATTTTTTGATGTTCTTTTTTATTGACAGATAATTTTTTTCGTTATTAGAAGTGCGATATTATTTTTAAAATAAATGTATTAGACAGAAATATTCATCCATATATAGATGTTCACTTACATAAATGGCACAGCTTTTGTTGCTAACGGTCTCGGTTTTTAACTTTTTTCTTTAAAAGAAGATTATCGGTTATTGGAGCCAGAATTTAAGGAGCTCGAATGTTTTGTGAATAACTCATGCGAAATACAAGATAATGACATGTGGATTTTTGGCAATCCATAGCAAGGATTGTTAGACATCGTTTCATAAACAGAGCCTCTTTTCAGGATGTAAGTATAAGCCTTTAGTTTACTCCCATCCTCATTTCTCCTCATGAAAAAAACAACAAATCCTTGCAGGATCTTAACTGGATCTGCCAAGGCTCTAGAACAAAAATATTACAGAATAACTAATATGAATTAATATATTTCTTTAAATCATAGTTGATGACAAGAAAATTTATATATTTTCAGTTGAAATATCTTTATACGATCGACTAATGACCAATCCAAAGAAGTAAATAAACTCTTGTTCCCGTTGCTGGTCGGATCTGATATGTAAAGTTTTTTAATCTTAGAACATTTCGCATAAGCTACAATGACAGTTCTTCATTATTTATCGTTGTATTAAATGGATTACATTCTATTTTAACACTATATAATTTGAACATTTCATTTAACACTAAAAGAATATTATCGTTGGATGTTACATTCAAACTCAGCTTCTCTAAATTTGCTGAAAATATGTTAATAAGAATCTCTATAGGTTTAATATTGTCTTCATCATTATCTGGTATCATATTCAATAAGTTTAAAATTTTGATTTGTTTATTCAACAATGAACATACTTGTTGATGAGTAAAATTTTTTTGGTATTTCTATAAGTGTATGCCAAGATAATGTCAATGATTGTAATTTTGTAGAATGTACTAATATATATGATAAGAATTCTTCAGAATGTATCGGATTATTTTGTTTAATAGTTAAATGTTTAATTTGTGATAAATTAATAAGATTATCAATCGATATTAATTTATGTAAATTACAAATAGTTAATGATTCAAGATTAGGAAAATGATAATGTTTTTCTATATTCGTATTATAATGACTGATAGTCAATTGAAAAATATAAATTTTTTATTGTACAATATTCATCTTTGCAAACGTTTGTTAATGTTTTTGTTGATAAACTCAAATAAAATTGTTCATCACTGTACGGTAAAGTATATAAATGAACATTACGTGGGTTGAGGTAGCCAATATATGGAAGATGATGATGATCACAATTAACAAACCATTGATGTTCTTTTAACCAGAATGATGTTTGAAATATTGCTAATAATTGTTCTATATTTGTATCATATAAATGTGGATGAGTTTTAAAATGGAATTCTTTTAATTGTGGTAAATATGTACGAATTCGATATTCCCATTGTTCACCATGAATAAATTTTACTCCTTTTGCTGCAATAAATGTAAATTTGTTTAATTTTGGCATCCATGCAAATAATACTGTAATGTCATTAAATGTTATGTTTGATTTTTCGGCAATTTCGATTTTTAATTGAAGAATTTCTGTTGTGATGATTGGTGGAAGAAAAGTGCTGTCTGCAGGAGTAGTATCAGCAATTAATTGAACATCTAATTTCGTCAAGATGGGTGTAGACAATAATAATTGTTGTAACTGACTCATTGAACAAATGCCAATTGATAGATACTTTAGTGATGGTGCTGTTATTTTGGGCATTAAACCATGTGCAAGTTTAATCGATAAATAAGATAATTTTGATAGAAGATTAAATTTTGTAACCACTTTATTCAAGTCTTGTTCAGGAATTTCGATTAATACTAATGACTCAAGATTAACAAACTGTCCAATATAGAATAATCCAAAAAATAAGTGTATTTGTCGACATGTATCATCAGCATTAGACAATGACAATGATCGAACTTGTTCTGACCGAATTGATTGACAAACAAAATCAAATTTAGATTTTGGCCACGATTTAAAATTAAGATCATATTTAGAATACTTTCCCAAAAGTGTATTAATTCGTTGATTTCATCCCTTAAATGCATATAGTATGTGATATGTTGTTAAGTATTCAAACACATCGTAGAGGAATTCATTTGGAAATTGATCTAACATCGATAATTTTGACATCTCAAAAATAGTTATATTTGATAAAGAATGAAATTAACGTGTTTTGGTGTGTAATTTATTGAGTGATAAAGTATTGAATTTTAACTGACTAAAGAAATTAGCAGAAAAAAACGTTCTTGGTGATGTCTACAAGATAAGTAACGAGTAACGACAATATTTTACATCCCAGAAGAGAAAAAATATGTTAGAAAAAGAAAAAAAGTTGTGCATCGATACAAAAGTATTTATTGATCTCAAGTCGATTCACTGGGAATGATTTTTTTGAATAGAAAATTGCTTGTCTATGTTGTATTTTATTGACAATTAAAACTTATAATCATTTTGTAAGGAAAACCGCTTATTAGATATGATGAATGTGAGACTAAGGATCTCTCACAGTGGGCAACAATTATGATACCAGATAGAAAATCGAAAGTATACTTTTCAAGCTGAAATACAGCAGAGTTTAATTTGGTTAACGTTACATCCAATGGTCTAGAAAAGTGAACTCGGACGAAATCTTACGCTAAATCGTATCATAAAATACTTGAGAGATCTTACAGACACATAAGATTTCCTATAATCTTATAGTGATATCTGACAAGGCAGCAAGATCTTTCAAGAATCTTTTAATATGACTTAGCATAATATTTCTGAGAGCACGATTTTTGTGTACAATTCTATACGCTAATCTCAAAACAACTCCAGATAAAAAACGGATACCAGATCGTAAAAAGACTATATAAGGTCTTAGGAAAGGATCAATTAAGATCGTACTCTCAGTATTTTTGCAAGGCTTCGAATGATTCCTAATGTACGATTCAAGTAGAAACCTTAAAAAAACCCCAACATATGAAATATATAAGAACAGCTATAACGACATCAATCTGATCATATAAAATCAGATAGCTTCTATCGTCAATGAAACATATAAGGTTTTATAAAAACGAATCTTGTACAATCATGCAAAATCAAATGCGAAAGCCCATCTGAAAATGGATGTCTATAAATTTGGCTCGATTTATTTTAAAATTGCGAACTTCTAAGTTTCCGACCAGTTGCTTTTTGTTATGGTTATGTTGTCTTTTTCTGAACTCATTCAAGAATATAATGTCAGATCGGGATGTCGCGAAATACCCAACATTGAAGGGCGCCGTCCATGAAAAAACCTCCATAATCATGAGTAAACTCGAAAACAATTTTCAGTTCCGCTGAAAAAACGAAAATATCCCAACAATTCAGCAACTCATCCGAGTCAAAAGCAAAACTCATACGTATTTCACTAGGGTAGTGTGCGTTGAGAAGAAACAACCTGAATAAGACATTCGAACGAAGAAAATAAAGGTAGAATCAATACTTACCTTCTTTTTCTACTTGTTTTGTCAATGTGTGTGACAAAAAGTAATGTATTGATCTTTTTTCTCTTTCTTTTTCTTGTACCCGTCGAAGGTCTTTTATACAATTCACTAGCAATTTTTACTTTGCACTGCAAGAAGTGTTAGCAAATATTGGTTATGGAGACAATCCAAATGCGCAAATATTAATATGAATCATTCATTTAAAGCAGAAATGCAACAAACCTTAAGTTCAGATCGAGCTTCAGCACCAATTTGTTCGAAGTAAAACTCTGTATGAAATCTTGCTGTGAAGTTACCACAACACGATGCATCTTCTCCTCTCCAGGATCATGAAAATAACTTTGTTGGTCACCTTACAGAAATCACTAAAAAAGACCATAGGACGCACACAACCGAAGGTAGCAACTCCTTAGATTATAAGCTGCTCATCTCTTTTTGTCTAACTGCACTTGCAACTCACACTAATTCATGCAGAAACTCCGAGATATTATCAAATAACTAAGGTTTTTTTGCGCGGCAAACTGGAAAAACCCGAAAGCGTGCAAAAATCCCTGCGAATCCTGTAATATGGATCTTTAAATCTCCTTCAGCTACGATGTCTTCGTTCGCCGAAACATGAAACATACGTCAATCGGTCTGGAATTTTTCGAACTGTCTGTGAAAGACTCATTCTGTCTCGACCAACGATCTGTCGGGAATTGAATGCTAGAAAATCATGCAATTTATTGAAAGTTCTACGGTATGTGTTTGCAATAGCTAGTGCATCCAATGGTAGTATCTTCAGTAGGCTCGTGAAGCTCTTACCATTCTCATCTCTTGTCCATGTTAAGGTGCAACTTACTGACAAGTCAACTGAAGCAATAATCCATGCGAGGTTTGCTATCACAATCATCCATCAAGATCTCTTGAATGCCATCTGCTACAAGAAGTTTATATAGAAAACTCAAAGATGCGTGACCGCAAACTCGACTACCTTAAATATCATCAGTCTGATCGAGCTCGAAATCAAGCTCAACTACATCAAAACGCACATTAAAGCCGACCTATCAACAAATTTAGTTACCACAATTCTTCTTGGTAACCATTAGGCCAATATGAATCACGTTCACCTGTTGGGCAATCAGAAATGTCTCATGAGTCTGGTATCAGGTTACAACATTCTTTGAAAAAAAATGTCTTTCGAAAAGAAATGTCCATGGTAATAACGTCTCTGAAAAATGACTTTTAGTGTTATGACCCTCCGAAACAATGTCTTCGACCATCAAAAAGTACTTTCAGTGAACGTGGGCAATACTTGATGATAATTGAGTGCGGGGTGTGGATGTGTAGTATGTTTGTCATGTCTTATTGTGTGTAGCTGAGGGTGGATGTGTGGTGTGGCTGTGTTGTGTCGGTGCATGTTTAGATTTTTAGTGTGGCGTGAGTGCAGAAAAAAGCACTCCAGAAACGCCACAACTACGTCAATCAGTGAAGAAATGACGGTCGAATTTAAGTTCTTTAGTTGGGCATGAAGAAGAATTTTATTGATTGATTTAATCATTAGAAGAATAAACGTTGAAACACACATACGTAAGTAGATAAAAAAAGGAGTTCAAAAATCTCATAGTAAAACTGAAGATGACAAAGTACTACTTAGAATTTTTTCGCGAAATACTGAGATAAAATCAATGAAAGCTCTTTTGCACAAGAAAAAACAATTATTAGAGAAGTAGCATGCCATACAACTTGCAGCATTATATGAGACAAAACGGACCTAGCTAAGTATTTTATGAGTAAATATATTTGTTTCAAAGAAGTCAATGTCGTGATGGTGTGTTCTCAGCAAAATACTCATGATTGTCGGCGTTCATTCGTGCGTGAGCTGGACTTATCTTGGCCAGATTGAGAGCCTGTGATTGACCATATGAATAATCATCTGTGCCAACGACGATTTTGAAATGCGACACTTCATGAATGAGAGTACCAGCCTTTGAATCTGTGCCCGTTGTCGACGTCGACCAGAATGCACCACACAGATAAATTTTATAAGGACTATATGGGTAAACGTAGGCAAACGTGGAGGGTTCGGTGCAAGAACAGTCAAACGCCAATGAATTGGTGGCAGCGAGAGCCTTATCGATATTCGTGAAGTGTGTCTTCATTGTATTCCAATTGGCCGATGAATAGGTTCCGAACCAAACAGTAAAGCGTAAAGTTGCCGCAGGCTTGGTATTGGTCAGATATGTCACACTATTACGGGCATAGCTTCGAGATGCATTGAGCGCGGAAACAAGCAATGTTAACCGGCTGCTCGAACAACCCGAGTAGGTGACCGTTCTTGACTGCTTATTTTTGCTGTTTTCCTCGATTTCTTCAAGTAGACTATTTGAACGCCCCTCGATAAACAGTGTATTATAGTCAGATTGCAGGATTGATTCGTGATCGTCATTAGGTGAGATTATGGCCCCTAACTTACCAGTTGATCTTAAGAGTACACGACTAAGATCCATTTTGTACTTAATAGCATACTTGCCAGTCTTACTCATGTTGTACACCGATGAGATCCGGATGACGCTGCTCACGATCTTACCTGGTGTCAAAGAGATGGTATCGTCTATCGTCAGTGCACGCCGCTTGACCAAAGGTCCCAGATACTCAACTGATTTGCCATCACACGTTACTTCAAAAAGTCGATCACGTAGTTCCTTTTGTGGTAAGCACCATTTGCCAATGAACAGCATCGTGGAACCGATGTTCTTGTAATTTACGGTCACATCTACATCTTGTGTCTTAGCGAACTTTGAAAGTGTTGGAACAATGTCGACTTTCAAATCTTGAGCATAGCCATTGGTGGCGATGACAGCAAGCATGATGTAGAAAGTGAAACAAAGTCGTTGCATGATGGCGTGCTCTTTGTGAAATCTACCTATCTATAATCAATTATTATTAGATATGCACTGATAGCTACACTATGGAGTATCTGGGTATAAGGGATCATTGTGGCATCAAGTGTCGGTGTGAATAGGGATTTGGGTGCGAATTTTGACATGAGTGCAGGTGTACAGTGGCTGTAAGTATGGGTGTAGATCCGGATGTGGGTGTGAGTGTGAGTGTGAGATGTGGATGTGGGTGTGGGTGTGAGATGTGGATACAGATGACATCTTAATCCATTCTCACACTGACACTAAAGCGCACACATCATATCTACATTCGAATACCCACTCCGATACCCTTCTCGTTCGCGCATCCCCATCTACACTCACCTACACCCACAATCATATCTCCATCGAACCAAGTTAGTTTTTTTCGGCTCACCAGCAAGCAGAAATGCTACTCGTAAATTAAAGAATAAAATATCTCATCTGTACAATTTCTTCCTTATATAGTCTATGACTGTCAACAAGCTGGGATTCTTTCACTAAGAACATCTATGGCTTCTGTGTACAAGAAGAGTGTGGGTGGGGATATGAGTGTGAGTGTGGATGCAGAGAGAATCTTAATTCACTCTTACATCGACACCAAAACCCACACATCACACCAACAAGCAAAAAATACTACTTGTAAGTTAAAGAGCGAAATATCTCATCTGTAAATGTTTTTTCTTTCGTAGTGTATGACTGTAAACAAGCTGTGATTCTTTCTCAGGCAACATTCAAGGTTTCAAAGTACACGAACGGTATAGGGGTGGGTGTGAGCGTCGGTATTGATGAGCATCATTCTGTGTGTAAAGGTGTAGCCATATCCATACTCTATACAATTCAAAGTGCAAACTTCTATTTGCCAATCGGTTTAATCTTTGTGCATAATTTGAAAACTAAGCAACGAACAATTCAAATAGTCATAATGTTTCTTCTTCTTTGCTTTCAGTGTTAGCCAATGGCGATATTTTCTTCTTTCTATTCTTTTCTTATATTCTAGATTGACTTTTATTCATTAAAATAAAGAATAATAAGTGTATAATTTTTTATGTATTTTTCATTACAGGCTCTTTTATCGAAGGAATACAAAATCCGAGTAAGTTACTTTTTTTCTATTTATTTAAGTTGTTTACTACATTAACAACAGTGAAATGAGTTATTTTTTTATTTCTCTAGAATTTTTTTATTTTAGATTAACTGAGGTATCAATTTTAACCGAGGAAATCTTTTTCATTGGTCTGCATCAATTTTATTCGTCTGAAAATCAATGAGCGGTTTTTTCGTATCTTCTTCCTTCGAGAGTAAGACAATAGAGGAAAGAGAATGAGAATACTTAGTTACCTACTTAAAAGAGTAACAAAGCCATTGGAATTAAAGTGAAGTGGGATTAGGATAGAGATCTTGTTAGAGTTGAATGGATGAGTATTCCATTTTAAATTCATCACACAAGTTCGTTCTCTGAAAGCCTTTCGAATAGGCTGTAAAAATGCTCGGCCAGGAATTATTTTAATATCCGTGGCACACGACCGGGCATTATCAGATATATCCAAATGTCATGTATATATGCGTACACTCTGTTCGTGTATGACCTTGTGGCCAGCGCGCACGAGTTAAAAGGACTCACAGTCATTCTTCTTTGAATAATCATCTGTTGTCATTTCTCGCTATTTATTTAATCAAGAGAAAAAAACAAAATAGCCATCGTAATGAGTCTATTCGATAGAAAACCGTTGCACTCGATCATTCCCCCAATCTATGACGTAGAGATGGCCGTATTGATCGAAAGTCAAATCCACTGGCCCATTTACCTGATTTGGTCCTTTTCCTTCGCCATTTTCACCCACAATGACAGTGCCCTGGTTTGTTCTTTTAGACCACTGCATTACTCGATGGTTTCCCGATTCCGCCACATAGAGATTACCCCATGTATCGACGAACAGTCCTCGAGGAGACGACAATTGCGTCAAAGCCTTTCCTTCACCTTGACCTCCAGCGACGACACACCCTTCTGTAGCACCTTTATTCCATTTCATTACACGATGATTTCTGAAATCAGACACGTAGACAGTCTGTTGTCGATCAACAAAGATGTAGGTCGGCATGTTTAGTTGATTGAGACCATCACCTTTGTCATAACCACCGGCCACGATAGTTTCATTCTTATCTCCTATTCGAAATCGTTTTACTTCATGTTTGACGGTGTCAGAGATGTACAGATATCTCTGATCATCCATGGCCAATCCCCAACCATCGATGTCATCGAAGAGGATTTCACCTTGAGCTGTACCACTACATCGAGACCATCGTAGGACTCGTCGGTTTCCTGAATCACAAATAATGAGACTTTCAGTTTCTTTGTCGATCAGCACATCACTTGGAAACTTCAATTGATCTAATCGATTTCCTCGCCCATGGCCACCAGCTACAACTTGTCCATTCTTATCACCCATTTTCCATTGCACGATACGATGATTAATTGTGTCAGCAATGACCAGCATTTGATCACTATCAACAAAGAGACCCCAAGGGCGATTGAGTTGATTGATGGCATCGCCTTGTCCATGGCCACCAGCAACGGTCACCCCGTTGTGTGCCCAACGGGCATTCTCTGGAATACTAGGAATCACTACAATGAACGGAAAATAAAAGGAATCTTTGTCGAATAGATTTCCTTCTCTAGCGAGAACGAGCTACAAATAGAACAGTCTTCTTCAATAGAACTTAATAAAACTCTCGAGAATATCTTTGAGAGTATTCAGAGCATCCTTCTCTAGTATATTCTAAACCAAAGTGACTGTCGCTACGAAACTCAAAAAGTTTCTTCTCGCAGATATAAATTCAGAAAACGTTTTTGATGTTCTATGAAAAAGGAGATTTGTACCAGTTTATTCTTGTTTACCACACTCCTGGTCTCAAATTCGTTAGTTCCTTTAGAAATCTTGACAAGATTTAATAAGAATCTCTCAAACCTGGTGCAAACATGTTGTCAAAACATCTGGGTGGGGTGTGGGTGTGTGGGTGTGGATGTGGGTGTATGGGTGTGGATGTGGGTGTGTGGGTGTGGATGTGGGTGTGTGGGTGTGAGGTTTGGGTGTTGACGTGACCTGGGTGTGGTAGTGTGGGATATGGGTACTACTCAAGAGACCAATTATAACCACATTCCCACGCTCAGGCCACGTAAACACCCACATCCACAAATGTCGTAGGAGCATCTGCCATGGAGCCATTGACAGATGCAGAAATGAAAACAAGCTAGTGAAGGAACAGTTATTTGTTTTGCCATTTATATTGAACTTTATCATTTTTAAAACCACTAGAAAATTACTGTAATTGCCTATAACGGCATTTTCACAGTTTCTTTTTCGTAGTAAAATCAATAGACGCCAAACTTTGTCATTATTACAGCGTCAACGCTGATACAATCATCTGTCAAGGTTACAAATAGTCTGCTTTTGTTGAATGCAAGATCGATGTATTCTAAGGTCGTTTTAAAACTTTTGCAATATCGATTGTAGTGAAAGAATTTGATTTTGAATCTATCAATTTAGATTTTTCAGTTCTGAAAATGTTTCACAGTACTTGCATAATGACGTTCGAAATCAAAGGACAAATAAGAACAGCAGATTTGAGATCTTTATTCAAATAAAAGATCATAATATTAGCCAATTTCATCAGAGATTGAAATTTCTGATGTCACATTTGAAAAGTTACTTGTAATTAGATTCCTAGAAACCTACACAAAATCAAGTATGGAGTGAGAAAGAAAATGTTTATGCATATTGAGAATTGCAGTCACAGTTTTAGTCAAATCCAAATAATCGATTGAGAAGATCAATAGATTTGGCTGTATTGTAAGAATCTATCAT